TAACTTCAATGAAACTTTTTAATGTTACACTGTTTTGCCGAGAGCACGTGATATTATTTTAAGCCTAAGTTATTGTGACCATGTTTTAAGTCGCTCATATAGGAAGAAAATCATAAAGGCGTGGGCTGATAACAACGTCATCATTACTATCTTTCAGACATAGTGATGAAAAACAAGTTGATCTAATATGATACATTCGTAGCGATATTATTGTGTGTGTATTATGTGTATTTGTTTTTTTCCTCCTTCCCGTCGCAATGGCTTGTGTGGGATGAGGGATACGTAGAAAAAGAAAGATAAATACAAAAAAGAAATTTTATCCCGTAAATATTAACTATTTTTATCGATAAGAACAAAGGGTGAAGTCACGGTGCTAGCTAATAATGAGAGCCGTAAGATATCCGTAAGAAGCCCGGAACGAACAATACAACCGAATATCTCTTATGTTTAGTGAAATGTCGATAACAACGTAAAATAAGACGTTTTAAAAAAATTAAAACTTTGAAATTTTAGGTAGGTTTAAAAAAAATGATGTTGGAATCAAAGAAATTATATATACGAGTATTTTAAATGTTCCCTGAAGGATTAACAGATAATTATGTGTTGAACAGTAATTTGAGGCAGCATCGGTTGAGAGATTTGTCGTAGGAAGAAGTAAATTCATTTAAGTGTCGCTTATCTCTGATGTCATCTTTAAATATAAAAGTTGCGACACATTGGTGTGTTCATTGTTGATTTTTTTTAAGGATTCGGTCTGGACTACCAGTACTCAAGTATGCCAATGACTACATGTTCGGTACGCGCGAAACACTTTCCCACTGTTATATCTCGTGCACTGTAGTAGGCTCATTTATCGTTGGGAAGTGAAGTCTATTAACTATGGTATGCAGGGCCGTGCCTGACGGGCGTTCATTGCGTGCACCGCACGCAGGCGGCCGAAATTAAGAGGCGGCCAAATCGTTACAAGTTGTTTACTGGGCAAAAATACAATCGGTTTGTTTTCATTAAGATACGAAGTAAAAACAGTTTCTCTAATCTAATCTATCTAAAAAGAGTTTCTCAGAAATAAGAAATGTATAAAAACTGATTAGGTCGTTTGTAGTATTTATATACCTAGTCATGCAGCGAATCCGAATTTTTTCGAACATTGCACGAGCGACGAGCCGAAATAGTTTTTTTCAATTGACCGGCGTCGCGTAAGCGGTCTTATTCGTCTTATTAGTCGTATTAGTCTATAGACTAGCGAGGATAAATCGTTATTTGTGTCCTGTGTGTGATCCGATATTATTAAATTCTTTAATTTAACGAATAAAAATAAATTGCTTAATTCCTGAAAACTTTTAGTTGTGTGTTCGTGTGGTGAAATTTAATAAAAAGTTTATTTATCGTTCTCGATTTCGAAAGTTTTCTCGATTTAAAAAGTTTTTTTATCTTTCTCGATTTCGGTTAACCAAAAACTGATTTTTTTCCCGGTTTGATGCCCTGTGTAAAATAATAAACATTAAAAATTAAAGTAGTTTTTTTAAATGTTATCCTGGGGGCGGCCATACAGACTGGCACGCAGGCGGCCATATACCCAGGCACGGCCCTGATGGTATGGCCAGTTAAGATACAAAATATTATCAATATTTTACTGATTACATCAAGGAAACATTTCTTTTTAATCGTTTATAATGACTTCTCTAATAGAGGAATATTTTTTTGTAAAAGACAAATTTGTTTTCCTCTCCTCTAATTTGTAAATTTCAATATGCACGATTTAAGTATTTCATCTAGAAAACTTCGTATGAACCGCTATATGAAGATTTGTTTAAATAAAACGATATGTGACGCAATCAACGTTCGTAACATAAGAATTATCCTGTCGATAATATACAGCGATTTAATAGCGAGCTATATTGATAGAGGTTTGAGTTTCTGTAATAGTTGTTTAAAATTTCATTTCCTTTTTGTTCCATCTTCATTTCTTTCTTACTATTTTGCTCATACTTTTAAAGTTATGAGAGTAACTGGCGTCTATCTGTTATAAAATTATTTTACTAAAAGGCGAACAAATTATTCAAGCCGTTATTAATGATGCAACAATATTTTTCTTTTTTATAATAAAATAAATAATCAGACCAAAGTAATTGACACAAAATTAAAGTCATGTGAAGAAGAACAATCATTTCTCTCTCGTTGGCTTCACTAATATAACTATTATGATATATTCAGTTTAATTTTATAATCAAGATTTTATAGGTTAATATGGCTGTAATACATTCAAATATGTTTTTTAAACATTGTTTCGGGACATGCTTTAACATGCAGAAGTGCTTATCATACCAAAATAATAAAATAAATCAGTCAAAATTATTAATGACAATATAATATTTATAAATTTACGCAATCTTCAGATGCATATTTTCATACTATATAATAATCATATTATGATTTGTGCTGCCTTTTTTTAAATTTAGTTTCTTACCAGTGTCACTAGAAACCTCATTCGTACGCTGATTTCTTTCAACAAATTAACGCCGCAGTCCACGTGCTAACCCTTTTGTGTTATTTTATAGTTTTATGAGTGGACAGTGTCGAGATAAACCAACGAAGGTGCCGCTGACGTACATAAAGCGCTATTGCGCAACACGGAGCCGACAAAAGTGAAAATGTCCGGCAGTAAAAGTTGCACAGATAAGCAATTTTTATAGCTTTTAATTTTGTATTAAGCGCCGGCATACCTGCCAACACTGCAATAGTAAAAGGGTTAAATACTTTTTGGTGTGAGACTCCTCTTTTGTTATGACTATTCGTTGATAAGAAATAGACCTTTCCTTTATCCTAATAGCGTATATGTAATTGAGGTTTGTTGTTGTTCACAGTCTAAGCAATGAATGTTCTCAGCTTTTCATCGATTTTATTGGTAAAGTAGTGTAGGACTGTGTTTCAGATGCCAAAAAATTAAAGAATTTAAATAAAAACTGACAAATCATTATACGGGCTTTAAGATTGAATAGAGGAATAAATTATATCATCGCAATGTTACTAAAAGGCTTAGTAATGCTATAGAAAGTCATTAAAGAAAACACTTAGTGAGTTTTTTTGTAAATACTTAATTTTATTAACTCTGTAACTAACAGTTGATATATAAGTATCCTATCTAGATTCGAGTAATACGACATTAATATGTATTTATAACTACAAGAATGAATTTAGCACATATCTGATCTTAAATAAAACACATTAAGCATTTTGGCAAGCGTGCGAAGTAATACTACAATATATAGTATATTAAACTTTAAAATCATTCAATACACATGTTGCATACTAATTAGTATTCAATATTTAACGTCCAAATAACATACGTTCAAATGTTTATATATGTATAGAAATCTTTATAACATACATAGAGATTGAAGTGAGTTTAATTTCTCTAAAGTAAATATGGTGTATGTACATAACTAAGTCAGCTAAGATGGCAACATCTAAGTCCGATCAGTATATTACTTCATAAATAAATCATATACACCTCTACATTCATTATAATTTCAAGGGAAAATCTATAGGCGGACAGTTATAAGTGTAAGTTAGTAAGTAGACTTGTGGTGCGACTAACACAATAGAAACAGACCAACACCGCAAGTCAAGTGCTGAACACGAAACTAGGCCGCACGCTCACCAAATACAACAATCTGGACAATTCGTAAATGCTAAATTGAAACTTGCATATAAATATATATTTAAATGGAATGTGCAGAAGCGTAGATAGGTACCCATCGTACACCAAACACCATTTACTTATGATTCATTAAATTTATCTTAAAATCTATATGTACACAGTTAATTACAACTAAGCGCGATGGTCGACAGAACTATAATTCCATTTCGCCTATCTAATTAATTAATCATATATATTTTACATATCTGTTATACACAAACAACATTGCACTGTACGACATCCTGATTAGTCGACGCACTATCCGTGAGCATACCAACTCTACTTTGCGGACATTGCCTGCTCTACATTTTGCGGTCAACATCTATCTAACAAATCATTACTTATTGTTGTTTAGTTTTTAGTAACCAATATTAAAATGATTACAGAAATCATATTATATAATTAATTTTCTCGTTTTGTAGAATTCGTATTGGTTATTTATATTCGTTTTAATATATCTATATGTTCATTCAGTTTGATCTTACTGTTGACTTTGAACATTTATAGTTTGGTATATTAGGTGATATACCGAATTTTCTCATATATTGATAATTTTATATACATCAAAAGATCTTTTAATTTATCGTAACACAAAGCTCAAAACAGTTTAAAAAAATTAGATTTTATACTTGCTAATAAGTTGCCTAATTAAGCTTAAACAATAGATCTTTGTTTACATTTCTACAAAAGATTTCAACGCGTGCTACACAAATAAGTTATCTCTACATCAATAGATAAAGTGACCGATAACCGTATCGTATTGATCGTAATACGCCTGCGATTATATCACATACGCGAGTTTGTTTTGGATGGTGACAGGAAAAAGCTTTGTTGTCAGTTTAACACTTAAATATCTGGCGAAAGACACAGAAAGCTCAGGAAAAAAATTACTGTGATTTTATTGACTTAGATAAGTAAAATTAAGCATAATATTAGCAGGTTTCCAATAAGAGTTGGTATACTAACGGGTCGTCGTAGCGGGCTACAGAGGATACTTCCAGACGTCCCAGAAACAGTTTAGGCCTATCGCGCCGCCGCCGTCCGGGGCGCCACCACCGTGCATAGACCTACCTACTAAGAGAATGCACAAAACGGACTTTGAGGATATCATCGCGATTATTTACACAATACCTATCGACGCCCCGGCTGGCGCCGCGACGCCGTCCGTGGTATCACAAGAACACAAGTCACGCTCACAATGAGTCCGAGTTTTCGAGAGTGTCGAATTCATGTTTCGCCGGCGGACTTACCCGCGGCGCGGCCAAAGCGCGCTGGGCGCCTACGCCAGCGGATACTGTCACAAGGGCGGCTGCGAGTGCGCGTGGGCGTGGTGGTGGTACAGCGGCGACTGGTAGTAGTTGTCAGCCGGCGCGTGCCCGTAGCCGTAGTTCACGTCGTACATCTTTAGGTCCGTCTTCGTGTCGGCGCCGGGCAGCAGCCGCGTGATGCTGAACGGGTGCGGCGCCGGCGCGTAGCCTGTCGGCTCCTGCTTCAGCTGGGCGTAGTGCTCCAGTGCGAGCGGCGTGTGCTCGGGCAGACAGAGTTCGGGCGCCGCGTGCAGCTGGGCCAGCAGGTCGTCCCGCATCTCCTTCTCTTCCCCAGCACCCGCGCCGGCCGATTTCTCGTGCGCGTGCTCCCCTCTCTTCTCGTGGCTGGAGCTGTGGTGCCCGTGCGTGTGGGCCGCCTTCTGCGCTTGCCTTATCGACTCCTTCTTCTCGTCCTTGAATCGCTTCTGCCGCCGCAGGAAGCAGCCGTTCTCGAACATGTTCCCGCTGTCCGGGTGCAGAGTCCAGAACGAGCCCTTGCCCGGCTTGTCGGGCGTGCGCGGCACCTTCACGAAACAGTCGTTGAACGACAGCGAATGCCTTATCGAGTTCTGCCAGCGCTGCTGGTTCTGCCTGTAGAACGGGAACAGGTCCATGATAAACTGGTAGATCTCCGAGAGGGTGAGCATACGCGACGGATTGTTCTGGATGGCCATCGTTATCAGCGAGATGTAGGAGTAGGGCGGCTTCGCGTGCGTGTAGGAACGTCGATAGGTCTTGTCGTTGCGGGCGCGTTGCAGGGCCGAGGTGGGCGAGGCGGCCTCCTGTTCGCGCGGCAGGGCGCCATAGGGCACCGCGCCGCCGCCGCCCATGCACGAGGCCATGGTGCTGGGCGGCGAGTAGCCGACGCCCGGGGATCCCATGCACGAGCCGCCGGCGACCATGTTGTTGGAGTAGATGTTGGGGTACGGCTGAGCTGGCATGCACCCCATTCCGTTGACGTACGGTGGCGCGAGGCCCGGCGACAGGGAGGACAGCGACGCGGACGTGGGCACGTCGCCGTACGACAGCTTCTGCGAGATCATGGCTAGCGCATCACCCGCGCGTGCACGCCGGCCAGGGGCAAACACTCGCACTGATTGAAAGAGTAAATAGAGGACAGGGGCCCGCTCTCCCCTCCACGCGCCGGCCATGGGCGCTTGGGGGCGGGGCCAGTCGTGGCTCCACCCGCCCTGCGCTCGCACGCAAGCGCCGTGTCCCCCCCTAGACTTGCCCGTCTCCCCTCTCCCCACTCGCTTACCCATCCCCCCTCGTACGAAGCCTCTAGCCGCGAACCGTCGCTAATAATACCGCAGCTCGGAAAGATAAAAATATGGAATAATCGTAAGTGCGTTAGCTAGATTGTGTCTGTGTGAAGCTTCGAATCTTTTTTCTACATTCTTGTATTATTTCCAGTTATGTATTTGTGTATAAGGGAACCTGTTTGGTGCCGGAAGTTTGATTCGGAAATTTGGTGTGATTTTGCATATTAGTTAATTTAATTTTATTAATGAAAGATATATTTTCCTACAATAACAACTTTCTTTACACGTTCCGTTAAAACAGTATCGTACCAACAGTTAACCGGTGATATTTCATATATAAGATGTTTGCAATTTACTAACTAGCTAGATTCTTCCGTAGCTTAAATTTATCTGTATCACTTGAAATTGTTTTAAAATTCTTGTTTTGATTTTTATATTTTTCGTTTAGAATGCGACGGGTGTTAGTCGAACCAAACATAAGTATTCTACGTAAATTAGAGTAAAATTAATACGACAACTTACAACATAGAATTGTAAAAAAAGAAATAACGAAAACTTTATATTCATGTATAGTTTATGAAGAAACATTTTAATGCGTGAAATATACGAAACAAAAAGTTCAACACGTTATTAGCAAGTACAGCAATGTTAAATTTGATATATTATTGTACATCACTAAAAATTATTTTTTTTCTAGAGAATGCTATCAAATATAATTCTGTTGTAAATAATTTCGAGAAAGCTTCAAACGCTTAAATCATGATACTTAAAGTTAAACCCACGTTCATTACCTTTAATTTACCAAAAAAAATTGCGTGACATTTTAAATAACAAGATAAAAAAATAGAATTTCGCACAAATGTGAAATGCACACGTTGATGACAATTTTATGGCATTTTTATTAACCTGGAATCATGAAGATAAGCTATAATATGATAAAGTCAACCTAATTATTATAATGTTACTTATATACATAAGTTAACCAATAAATTAACCAATAAACATATACATGTTTATTGGTTAATTTGCAAGCTTTACTGAATCACATCTTGTAATATAATATCACCATTTATTTAATAACATTTCTCTGCACAAGTGATGATTTATGCAACTTAGTAATTCCATTTAGCTTATGGAACTTAATAAACCTTCCTTCCCTTAAGGAACCTTTTACGAGTGTTTTTTTATAATCTTTGTACATCTTTCACTTTCGTTTATGTTTATTTCGTTTATTGATTTGTTACTTTGCAATAAGGATGCTGCAGTTAACTTTCTGTAAACAAATAAGGTGGCACTCAACTTAATTGCTTCCACAAAGTCGTCAGCGTTTCTTTGTTACAAACAACATAATAGATATGTCATTTGGACTTTACGCTGAGCGGGGAAAATGGTAAACAAATTTGATAATCTTTGGTTAGATTAGTTGTTTACTTTTTAAACAAATTAGATACTCAGTTATAAACAGCCAAGTATTTAGGCACCGTCTAACTGGCGGATAGTGCTAATTGTCGTTTAATTTCAATTGTAAATAAAAATATAGAAAATGGATGTAAACTCCAGTACTTTCGTAATGAAGTTGACATTATACATTGACATTTCTTAGGATTTTAAGTGACTGTCGCAGCGAATGCCTTATATTCCTTCAAATTCGAATGTAATATGTCAAGACTTTACTTTTTATTTTAATAAAAAGTAAAGTCTTGACATATTACAAATAAACAAAATATTAGTTATGTTCATCTTCACATCGTACCTAATTGTTCCTTCAGCACCTAATTTGTTTTCCCTGTTTTTTCTTATTAACAATTTTGTTATAATGTTCGTCAGTTTTAACATCGTAGTGGACCTATCAAGCCTTGATCTGATACGTATATCTTGCTTGTTGTAGTGTTTAACATTGTTTATTTTTTGTTAAGTTAATTAAATCTTTTTATTCTAGTATCAAAACTTTTATTTTAATTAGATGCAAGTAATTATAAATATATACTAAAACATACCGATACTAATATATACTACAAAAAGACACGATGTTCAACAAAATTTGTAAATTAGATATTTACAAACTGTTTCTTAGTTTTAAAGTTGAAGCAATAGTTTGAACCAAAAAATATTTCACTTAATATTAATATTTAAACTTTTATCCCGTCATTAGCTTAAACATCGCATAGATTCATTTTTATTATGCATTAATTCAATATTTGATTCTACTTCATGTAATTAGAAATGTTTTTCTTCATATTTTTTATTTCGCTTTTGTAAATTGCTTTCGTTTATTGACAACATTTTTTCATGATTTCGCACTTAAATATTTTCCGCAATACCTAGGCCTAAATAATGACAACGCAAAATTATTAAGGGCCTCGCGGTCCTAATGTAAGGTCGCATGGATTTTCTTCAAATGTATCCAAAAATATATCTAATGTATAGAACAATATACAATAACAGGCCGATAAAATTTAATATTTTGAAAAAATTATGATACATTAAAAGGTGAAAAAGACGAGTTTACGAGACTATACACGTCTTCGCTTCAAAATTGTGTCCTTTTTTAATGGAAAAAATTTTAAGCTTGCAGGCGGTTCACCCGATGTTAAATGATTGCCCCCGCTCATAGACATCTTCATCACCTGGCGGCTTTGCAGAATCGTTTACAACCTTTAAAAAAAGTGGGCCCTAGTTACCTTACCAACTTCAATGCGAATGTATGATATTTTCACTTCACGCTTATCTTCTGTGAGGCCGTGGTACTTCCCCGGACGAGCTTGCCCATTCGTGCAACCCAATTACACCCAGCTGTTCGGGGCAAAGTAGGGTAATGTGTTTATCAGCCTATGTATATGTTTGTTCCTTTGTGGCACGTTGAAGACCAAAGCGTGGCCCGAAAACTATGATTATTACGTCAGTCGAATTGAATTGATTTCTTTGTATTATTCGGATATTATACATGGTCAAGTGAAAAAAGTTTCAAATATATATAGTATATATAGAAAATAGTTATCACGCATCATTCTGTTCCGTGGCCGTGAACGCTGGAGAGGGTTCGTAACGTCGGGAACTTAAAATGAAAATACAACGTGATTAATTCCATAAGATCGTTTCATTGAATCGAATTGTCTTAAAATTGTGTCAATAAAGACATGACAGTATTTAAAATACAATATGACGATATCCAGCAGCCATATAGTGAAAATATATAACAAGGTATAGAAAAATACTCCATTCAAACATATCTTTGACCTTTTCAAAAATTTTAGCTACGTATCTGTTGGGTTTTCTGAATCTTCAATTCTACGTACTCGGTGATGTTGTAGCAAGTTAGTGTGTTTTATTCATTAGCACGGAATTAAACGTGCTGTGTCATTAATAATCTGCATAAGACGTATTTGTATTTCGTTGCTGTCACCTACATTATTACTTTATAATAAAATGTCACAGTTTTGGTATGTACACTATGGACGTCACAACCAACGGGTGATTTACAGGTCCATTCTCAAAACAGTGCTCATAGTTTCTGTGGAGAAAAGTTTTCTCTTTCGTGACATATTGATTTGTGAAGCTGACTTATTTACTGGTGTAATCGCGTAAAGTATACAACGATATCGCTGTCACATTGACAGAATGACTCACGATTGTCAATATTATGTTAATAACGAACTTTGTTCCGTCATTTTCATTTGACTCCGCCAGCAACTAGTAGCAATTGTTGCATCAGCTTAACGCAGATAAAATTAGCCCGTAATTACTAGCTTTTTACATGATTAAGCACTCAAATGTAATCGAATTAATCTAACGAACTGATTAAGACGTTAATTACTTTGTTGTTTCTAAGTCTTGTCTTATAAATGTTAAAAAATTCCTATGATTTTGTAAATTTGCTAATATCCTAGTATAGACTAAAGTGAAATACGTGCTTATGTACGCATGTAAGTTATACTTTTTAGCGTAACAGAAGAAAATAACTAAAAATTTTATCCCCTGTGCCAGTACTCTATGTCTATGAAAAAGACATAAGCAATTTATGACGGTTTTATTAAATATCTTGGGATTATAGGTAGGTATATGTCAAAAAGTTATTATTGGTTGCCATGTATTGTAGGACAATCTACCCTAGTTTGCAACTAACTTCACCGTATTACCATGACAACGAAGTATGTGAAGTCAACTTCATCATGTTGCTGTTTGGGAGTCGATGTGCGCGCTCATCGTAAATATTTTATTCAATTAGTTTTTTCCAAACACGCTAAAAGAAATGTAACTTCAAAAATACTTTTTAATGAATGTAATATATTTATGCCGGATTTTTATGTTGCCTTCACTGCTACAATTGCCACAATAATGGCAAATGGGGGTTACTATTATTAAGCAATAATGAAAACGACCAGAAAATTAAAAAAGAATTACAACAAAAACATTTAAATGCGACAATTCCGCTGTCATTTAAAGTTTTCAAATAAGATTAACCAAAGTTACTTTTATTGAAACTTAATGGTAATACGTAAGGAAAAAACGTTTAAATCTGATATACTTTTATTTACTTTGAATCTATATCACATATCGAAGTTGAAGAGCGTTGACATTTTCCCAAATGCACTCTGCACTCTTGCGATACATTCCTATTTGTCAGCGCAGTTCACAGAGCCCGCCTACAGCCGACATCGGGAATCTGACACCGGATCCTCGTTAATGGCGGTCGCTTGTACCGACTCCCCAACGAAACCTGAACTCGGCACATTGGCATCATGTTCGAAGCGGTCGAGTAATACCACTAAATAGCTCTTTACCAGTTCAGCTTTAAAGATATTTTTAAAAAACCAGGAAAAAATTACACTTTCGCCTTTCTGTGACTTTGCAATATGACAATGTAACAGAACGATTTTTTAAACAAATATCGTACAATCAATTATTACGTAACGGTTTTCTTGGTTTTTTTTATTTGTACTCTATATATTAAAGTCTGAATATAGTATTTCTAGGTCGAATATGTTATATCTCAATATTAA